CCACACCACTGCATGTGGCCGCCAAGGCCGGGCAGATCCTGCAGGCAGAGCTGCTGGTGGTCTACGGCGCCGACCCCGGGGCACCCGACGTGAACGGCCGGACCCCCATTGACTATGCCAGGTGAGGGCGGGGAAGGGGGGTCACCCCTGCCTGCACCCCCACCTAGGGTGGGCATTACCCCTGCCCGCCCTCCCACAGGCAGGCAGCCCAGCACGAGCTGGCAGAGCGGCTGGTGGAGTGCCAGTACGAGCTGACCGACCGGCTGGCCTTCTACCTCTGCGGCAGGAAGCCAGGTGAGTGTGCGAGTCCTGGGGTGGGGAGGTTACCCTGGGGGCAAGGGGGGCATGAGGCCCTGCTCAACACCCCTGTCTTTGCACAGACCACAAGAATGGGCACTACATCATCCCGCAGATGGCTGACAGGTGAGTGTCTGGTGCCCGTGGCCCTGCCACCCTGTCCCATGTCCCCCCCGGCGTCCCCGCTGGGCTGAGGGGGGGACCCCTGTCACTGGAGCATCCCTGGTGGGGTGGGGGGGGTCAGCGTGCCCGCGCGTTTAACGTCCGCCTTTATCCTGTTCTTCCCTCCGCTGCCTTCTCCGGAGCGCAGGGTGCGCCCAAAGTGCATGGCACAGAGGTATTGTCCGCTCGGCTCTTGGCTCCGGGGGCCCCCCATGCCACTGGCATGGGCCCCCCCTGCAGCCCCGGCCGCTCGGCCCAGCCCAGCACCTGGGGGGCACTCGGGGAGGGGGGTCCCGCTCGCCTTCTGCCACCTTGTCCCCCTGTGCCTGCCCGCCAGCCCTGCTTGGTGAAGCCCCCAGTGCCTGAGGGGGGGTCCCTGTCCTGGTGGGGTACAGCTGGGGACTGTTTTGGTGGGAATGGGACAGGAATAACCCCCACTTCGTCTCTCCCCCCCTCCCTGCACCCCCCAGCCTGGACCTCTCTGAGCTGGCCAAGGCAGCCAAGAAGAAGCTGCAGGCGGTGAGTGGGGGCTGGGGCAGGGCTGGGGGTCCCGCCTGCTCCCCCCATCCTGCCTGACACCGTCCTCTGTCCTGCTGCAGCTCAGCAACCGCCTCTTTGAGGAGCTGGCCATGGACGTCTACGACGAGGTGGACCGTCGGGAGAACGACGCGGGTGAGCGGCGGGTGGGGGGTGCAGCCCCCCAGGGCTGGGGCGGGCGTCACTGGCGCGGGGAGGAGCAGCCGGCGGGGCCGTGGCTGAGCCCTTCGCTCCCCCCCCTCCCTGGATGCGTCCGCCGGGACCGCAGGCCCCTCCTTCTTCATTCCTCTGGCCGGGGAGGTTTGCTCAGCGCGAGGGGCCGCCGCTGGGTGCTGGGGCTGGGGTGCTGCCGGAGGTGGGTGCTGGGACCCCCAGGGATGGGAACTCAGCCTGGAGGGGTGCCCTTGGTCTGGGGGATGGTGGGGGGGCCACCCCGTTTCCATGGCGAGGTGGGTGCCAACAGAAATGACAAACCCTCTCCCCACTGGCTTGGGGTGGCGAGCTGGTGCCCCAAGGAGTGAGGAGCAGGGGGTCCCTGCTGGGGGGCGCAGGGGGGACCCCAGCTCTGCGGGGTGGCTGAGAGAGGCAATTCCTGTCAGCCCGGCTGGGCTCCGCTCCCAGCCCCAGCAGGCTGGCCCCGCGCCTGCGCCTGCGTCCTGCCAGCTCAGGCCCCGCAGCCTGCTCGTCCAGGGGGGTCCAGCCCCTGTAGCCCCCCGGAGTCTGACACCAGGTGCCTTCCTGCAGTCTGGCTGACGACGCAGAACCACAGCACGCTGGTGACAGAGCGCAGTGCCGTCCCCTTCCTCCCTGTCAACCCTGAGTACTCGGCCACACGAAACCAGGTGAACCCTTCCCCCCAGGCCTCAGGGTTCCCCCCCACAAGGCCTTGTGACCACCCCCCCGTGCACCCAGACCTCTGCTTACCCCCTTTTCCCTGCCTCCTACCCCCAGGGCCGGCAGAAGCTGGCCAGGTTCAATGCCAGGGAGTTTGCCACCTTGCTCATTGACATCCTTGGGGAAGCCAAGCGCCGGCAGCAAGGGAAGAGTCTGTTGAGCCCCACAGGTGAGGGACAGAGGGCAACGAGAGGGAGCTGAGCATCCCTCCCCACCCTGTGCTCAGCACCCCCTTGCCTTCCCCCAGACGCCCTCGACTACTCGCTGCGGAGCCAGAGTGACCTGGACGACCAGCACGACTACGACAGCGTCGCGTCCGACGAGGACACGGACCAGGAGCTGCTGCGCAACGCCTCACGCAACAACCGTGCCAGGGTGAGCCCTGGACCCCACCTGGACCTCTACCCCGGCTGTGGGATCCCGATGCTGAGCCCCTTTCCCCACAGAGCATGGACTCCTCCGACCTGTCGGACGGCCCCATCACGCTGCAGGAATACCTGGAGGTGAAGAAGGCTCTGGCTGCCTCTGAAGCCAAGGTGCAGCAGCTGATGAAGGTGAACAACAGCCTGAGCGATGAGCTGCGCCGGCTGCAGCGTGAGGTGGGTGTGGGGCCGGCAGGACCCCCCCTTCATTGTATTCCACTCCTTGCTGAAGCCTCCCCCCGCTCCTCCTGGCTGCAGATCCACAAGCTGCAGGCAGAGAACACGCAGATCCGGCAGCAGAGTGGTCCCGCACACCCAACCCCGGCCCCCAGCGAGCGGCCAGAGCACGGGCACCCCCCTGGCACGGCCCCCACACACCGCCGGGACCGCCAGGCCTTCTCCATGTACGAGCCGGGCTCGGCGCTGAAGCCCTTCGGGCAGCCGGTGGAGGAGCTGGTGACACGGCTGCCCTTCGGCCCTGGTGTGAGTGTGCTGGGGCAGGCGGGCGGGTGGGTTTGGGGTGCAGCCACCTCCCCAGCCCTGCAGGGTGCTGGGTCCTGTCCCCGCGGGGCCGTAACCTTTCATGTGTCACCAGGAGGTGGAGGACGAGGCTCTGTACTCCATGCACATCCCGGCCAGCGTGTACCGGGTAAGGGGGCCGCAGCGGGGGCGGCTCCTGCATGGGATGTGGTGGCTGTCGCCTGCCCAGGATGTGGCCTTTGGGATGTCCTGTCCCCCCACCGCCCTGAACCCTGCTGGGTCAGGCCGGGGACCTCCCCAAGGGACGGCGGCTGTGGGATGTTCCTGCATGCAGGGTGGCGGTGTCCCCTGTGCTCGTCCTCCCCTGCACATCACCGAGGTCGGCTCCAAACCCTTCTGCACCCTGTTCAGCACCGGCTTCCCCTCTGTTCCCCCTCCAGATCCGGAAAGGTCCATCTGCCTCCTCGGTGCCCTTTCCCCCATCCTCCCCGCTGCTCTCCTGCCAACCGGATGGTGCCCGGCACATGGTGATGTACTGGGGAGGGGGGTAACTCTTGGGGTGGGGAGACCCCTGGCCCTTGCGTGGGTTTGGGCTGGGCAGGGCTTGACACTGTTCCTCTGCCCTGCAGAGCAAGCTAGACCGGCACGGCAGTGGCACTGACAGCGACTACGACAACACGCAGGGGGGTGAGGTCCTGATCAGGTCAGTGCTGGGGCTGGGGGCTGCGCCAGGGAATGTGGGGACACACGGAAATGCAGTTGACACTGACCCCAGGGGGTTGGTCGGTCCCTGCAGCATGGAGGGCAAGCGGTTTGTGGAGCTGAGCAAGGATGAGGACTTCCCCCATGAGCTGGACCCGCTGGACGGGGAGCTGGACCCTGGACTGCCCAGCACAGAGGACGTCATCCTCAAAACTGAGCAGGTCACCAAGAACATCCAGGAGCTGCTGCGGGCGGCGCAGGAGTCCAAACATGACAGGTGAGACTGGTGCACAGCCTTGGGGTCCCTCTGGACCCCCAGACCAAGGGGCTGTGGTCACACAGGGCCATTCCTGGCACCCTCTATGGTCGGGAGCCATGGTCTCCTGCAATGCTCACTGCTTACCCTTTCTCCTTGCCCCCAGTTTCGTGCCCTGCTCAGAGAAGATCCACTCAGCTGTGACAGAGATGGCATCGCTATTCCCTAAGGTAAGAGGGTCGGTGTGTCCCTGGGTTGGGGATGGTCCCCACCCAGACACTGTCAGCTTCCTGGGCATGGGTTCTGATGCTGGTCCTGTGCCCTGCTGCAGAAGCCGGCTCTGGAGACAGTGCGGAGCTCCCTGCGGCTGCTCAACGCCAGCGCCTACCGGCTGCAGAGCGAGTGCCGCAAGACCGTGCCCCCCGAGCCAGGCGCCACCGTGGACTACCAGCTCCTGACCCAGCAGGTCATCCAGTGTGCCTACGACATCGCCAAGGCCGCCAAGCAGCTGGTCACCATCACCACTCGTGAGAAGAAGCAGTGAGCGCCAGCCCGCGCCTCCCCGCCGCGTGTCCCCCGGCCCCCACGCTCTCTGTCTCTCCCTTCCCTCTGGCAGCAGCCACCACCTGGGGCGAGCGTGGCTGCAAGTGGCCTTTTTGGGGAGCTGGGGCACGGGGCGAGCTGCCCATGCCCCCTGCGCTGTCAAAGGAGCTGGTGCTCGGCCTGCGGGGTAGGTGCCTGTGTCCCCCTGTACAGCCCCCTGCCCGCCCCGTGGCACGCGCCTAACTTATCCTGTACAGTACATAGCCTGTGTAGCTGTCTATGGCGGCGGTGGCCTTGTACCCCCACCCCCCACAAAGCCCCTCTCTGGGTGGCCGGTACCCCCGGGGCCACCCACGGCATTACACTGGACTGGGACGCCCGTGGGCCCCCCCTTCCCGGGCGTCCTGAACCCCTCCCTGGGTGTCCTGCCCCTCACCGGGGCTGTGCTCCCCACTGTAAGATGTGTCCTTGTAAATTTGTATCAATAAAGTTGTGAGCATTGCACGGGCCCCCTGCCCCGCTCCCGTGCCCATGGAGGGTCCAGTCCCCCTGGACCGTGGGTTCACCCCTCCCCGGCGCCAGGCAGACTTGGCCACGTGTCCCTCCCGTTTCACCCAGTCCCCTTGGCCCCGCTGGCGGCTGCTCACGCCATCCCCAGCACAGCCCTGCTGTTTGCCCAGCCCCGGGGCTGGGCTTTCCCAGCACGGCCCTGCCATCGCTCTGCGAAGCCGCAGAGCACCGGGGCTGCCGGCTGGGGCTCTGCTGCCTCCATGCTGTCCCCAGAGGGTTTGGTGGCCGCAGCCACAGTGCTCGTGGTACTGGGCCTCCTGGCTTGGTGCCTTTGGGAAGGGAGGCTGGAGGTGCCTGGAGACTTGGCAGAGGAGGAGGAGGAAGAGGAGGGGATCCCCTTCATGGCCGAGGAGGGCTCAGGGCGCTGCCGGCTGCTGTGCAAGCCCTCGGCTCTGGCCCAGCACCTGGTGCGGAGCTTGGGGCGGTCGGCGGCGCTGCGGGGGGGACGGTGGCCGTGGCCACGCTGGCCTCAGCTCCAGATGCTGCAGCAACTCCTGCAGCCGCCTGAGCTGGAGCCAGTGGTGGCCCGGGAGCTCCTGCAGCTCTCTGATGCTGGGCTGGTGGCCCTGGACTGGCTGGTGGGACCGTGGGGGGCTGTGGGTGGCAGTGGGGGGGTCTCCAGCCCGGTGCTGCTACTAATCCCCAACGCTGCTGGGAAGGTGACAGGGGGGCTGTTGCAGCTGGGGCTGCGGGCACTGGAGCGGGGCTTTATCCCCGTCATCTTCAACCGCCGGGGCCACAACGGCTGCCCCCTCACCACCCCCCGGCTCCAGCCCTTTGGAGACCCCGGGGACCTGCGGGAGGCCGTGACCTACCTGCGGTGCCGGCACCCCACTGCCTCGCTGCTGGCTGTCAGCGAGGGCTCAGGCTCGGGGCTGCTGCTCGCCTACCTGGGGGAGAGTGGCTCCTCCAGCCGCTTGGCTGCCGCCGCCTGCCTCTCCCCCATCTTCCGTGGCCGGGACTGGTTTGAGGCTGCGATGCCCTGGCTCTACGAGTGGCCGCTGCTCCTCCACCTCAAGCAGGGATTAAGCAGGTCAGTGAGGTCCCTTGGGCTTGGGAAGGTGGAGGGGGGTATCCTGGGAACCCCTCATTTATCTTTGAGGGTGTGCGTGCAGTTCAGCACCCAGAGCCCCAGCACTGGGGCAGAGGTGCTGAGGGCAGCAAAACGTGCTGGTTAATGAACACCAGCCTGGAGCCAGCTGCCATGGGGCCAACCGGGCCACCACGTGTGTTCCCAGCCCTTCTGAGGCTGAGGCAGCATCTCAGCGTCCCTGGGCTGGGAAATCTGTCACCCCTGTGGGGGGTGGTGAAGCCCCTGTGTGGTGCTGGACCCCGAGGGATTGAGTGGGGCTGGCCACTCTCCCTGCACTGTCACTTCTCCCCAGCAACTGACACCGCCTTATTGGCCCTGCAGGGCTTTGGGAGGGACCGTGATGTCAACCCACAGCTGGATAGGGGGCTGTGACTGCTGCCCTCCCTTCCTAAGGCATCTAGGTCCCCTGTTGCCCAACACAGCCAGGCTGGAGCAGCCCAAGGACGGGAGACACACCACCCTGGGCCAAGGCCTTGAGCAAGTGGCACCTCCCTGGGCGGTGCTGAGACCTTTGTGGGGGCAACGGGGCCCTGCTGGTGGGCAAATGGGAGCCAAAAAAAATGCAGGTAAACCCTGAAACGTTGGGGCAAACAGGTGGCAAGTCAAGCTGTGGCAAGGCTCAGATGGGTGAAGAAGGCACAGTGTTTACTGCGGGGATGGAGTATTGGGGGGTGGGCAGTAGGGTGTCTGCCCCCCCTCCCCATTTCCCAATACCCATTGCAAATGCTGCTGTCACGGCAACGGAGCAGAGTGCTGGCTGTCTCCCGTTGCCATGGCACCCGGGCTGCGCTGTGGGGACCCTCCAGCATCCTCGGCAAGGTGCCGGAATGGGACCCCCAAACCACCTCTGGGGTAGGGGGTGGTGGGGCGTGCTTGAGATCACCCCCAGTTCCTATGTGCGGGGCCGCGGCTGGCGCACAGCCCATGGCAGCACCCCCGCAGCTCCCAGCCCCCGGGTGCATCCCTGGGGCCCTCAGCAGTGTCAGCCAGCCCCTGCGGCATCCCCGTGTCCCCCCAGCCCACGGCAACATCCCCGCAGTCCCCCACGGCATCCCCTCAGCCCCCAGCCCACGGCGGCCGCCCCGTCCCCGCAGGTACGCGGGGTCCCTGGCCGAAGCGGTGGACATGGACAGGCTGCTGGGCAGCCACTCGCTGCGGGAGCTGGAGGAATCCCTCTTCTGCCGGACCCGGAGCCGCCCCACGAGCTGGGAGGTCTACTGGGAACGCAACGAGCCCCTGCGCGACGCGGACGAGGCGGCCGTGCCGGTGCTGTGCCTGTGCAGCGCCGACGACCCCGTGCGCGGCCCCCCGGCCCGCAGCCTGCCCATGGAGCTCTTCCGCAGCAGCCCCTACTTCTTCCTGCTGCTGACCCCGCGCGGGGGGCACTGCGGCTTCCCCCGCCGGGCACCGGGGCGCTGCTGGGGCCACGAGGCCGTGCTGGAGTATTTCAGGGCCATGGCCGAGTTCCTCCGGACGGAGGAGCGCAGGAAGGGGCAGCCGCGGCCCCGCAGGTGGGGGGGCCCCGCCGTCGAGCCCCCCGTGTTCACCTGGCAGAGGTCCTACACGCGGTAGCCCCCCTTCCCCGGGGGGCTCAGAAAGGCAGGCAGACACTCCGTGTACTAAAATTACTTTATTACAGTTGATTTTTTTTTTTTTAACATTTCCTTTGCTATGATACAAAGGATACTTACAAACAAAATATTACATATGACCTTATTTTTTTTTTCTCTTCTCTTATTTTCTGACAACTTGGTAACAGCTTTAAATGCACAATCTATACAATTAATACAGGTTATATATGAGCTATAATGTATGTTGAACCAGAAGAATACCAGAATACTGACAATATACTGTACATTAAGCCTTACCAGTTAGTGCTCGTGGCATTTTCTACAAGAAGGAAAACGCACACCTGTAGATTCACTCATACCAGCTGGTGCTACCAGACACGGAAGCAGGAAGGAGTTTTAATTCCCCTGGTTAAATCCTTTGTGGCCCATCACCGTGGTGCTGGGCATGGAAACCTCAGACCAGTGTTCATAGTAAAACAGCAGATATGTGTGTGTTTTTTCTAACTAATGCTCTGTGGCACAGCACGGCGGGGCCGGGCGCCTTCCCCCGGCATGGCCTTGGCCATACCTGGATGATGCCCCAGAGCAGACGGCCACGGCGCTGGGGCCGGGCGCTGGGCGAGCTCTTGTCGGGGAGCTGGACCTCCTTAGGGAGGGGAGAGGGAGAGGAGGAGGAGGAGGAGAGGAAAAGCAGCAACAGCTTTGCTGTCATCAGCAGGCAGCTCTTGGGTTTGTGCACATGGACAGGCGGGCGCCGAGGGGGGAAGAGCAAGCCCAAGGCACGGCGCTCCCCGGCACGGCTCCGAGCCCGGCCGCACACGGAGCTCGTGCCCGGCAAACCCTCCACGGGGTCAGGCAGGAGCTGCCCTGTGGTCACCTCCTCGCCAGGAAAGGTTTGCTTTTGTTTTGCAGCCAAAGCCAGAGGTGTGTGGCTACAGGTGTGCACTTCCCCTCCTCCTGCCGGGGTCTACAACGCACTGATAAGGTTACATTTTTGTGTTTTTTATTTTATTTTTTTTCTTTTTAAAGCAATCAGCAAGTGAAGCTTTTTTTTTTTTTTTTAGTTGACTGGCAAAAAGACCTGGCATTTGCACAAAAGCTGCAAATGGAAAAGAGCCATCCCCTCCTCCCACCCGCTGCATCCTAGCCCAGAAAAATCCCAAACTGTTGGCGGAAGAAAGGAAAAAAAAAAAACACAACAGGGGTGGAGGAGAGGAAAGGGAGGGGGGAACAGGTCGGAAAATACCAGGTTAGAGTTAACATTTCATTGACTTCACACAATGCTTGTGCAAAAAGAAACAACTCCCCCCCAAACAAACAAAAAACCCAAACCCAGAAACATGCTGGAAATAATGAAAACAAATGGAAAGTAATATATAAAATTAAAAATATAAATAGGATGTCTGGCTGACTGGTAGAAGAATAGGTCATTTAGGTTACAAAAAGGAATATACATTCAAGAGGCTCTGAACCCAGTGGGGTAACTGATGTTAAACTTGTGTTAATAGTTAGGCTAGAATTCTCAAGTTTGTCTTTAAAATCTTCACAATACAAGCAAGCTATTTTTAAAAAATATACACTATACACACCTCACACAGCTTCTCCTATCCGTATTACACACGTTACGCTACCCTCCCATCCACTACACCGAGGGGGGGTCCCATGGCCGAGGGGCACAGGGTGGTCCCCCCATCCCATCCTGCCGGCCCCGCGGTGGCGGTGGGGCAGCAATGGCTGCAGGGCCGGGCAGGTCCTTGGCCCCTCCACATCTTTACCACAACCTTCTCAAGCATTTACAAGTCACCAAAGGGCTGTAGACTTTTTATGTTATACACACTTCACTTTGTAACGTTAATTATTTACAATCAGGGCTGCCCCCCATCTTTTAGCTGTTTCTAGGCAGGTAAAAAAAAAAGATCCTGTTCCAAGCAAGCAGGGGGAAGAGCTGTGGGGGGTTAGGAGGGAAGAAAAGCTGAAGAAAGGAAGCGGGTGGTTTGCTTGCCAGAAGCCAAACCCGTACATGCACGTCTGCCTCTCCTTCTCTGATCCTTGAATCCTTACAAGCTCCTGTCCCCTACAACCTCCAGGACAACCAGACCCAGAGAGCACGGCCTCACCGGCGCTCAAACTCCTCTGCTCGCAGCTTCCTGGGATGTTCAGCACAGCTATTCTCAACTCACAGGCTTGCCTCTGCTACCTGACACAGAGCACAGGTCCTGACCATTTCTAGGAGCCCACCCCTCACTCAGCAGCAGCTCTTGCAGTGTAAGCCAACTGCAGCAGGGCAGGGACATCGGGACCCCCACAAGCCACGGCGCTGCACCCCCAAACTTGCCCTTGGTGGCTGCCACCGGCCACAGTTGGGCTCTGACAGAGCTGTGCAGAGGCAGCGGCCACTGACTTCAGCTCATCAACAACCCTGCACTGATTTCTGCACTCTGCTGAGCTCAGAGTTGCCATAGAAATGTGTGATACTGGCACTAAAAGCAGGCAACGATCTCAAATTAAAGTCTTTTTTTGTTTTGTTTTTTTTTCCTCCAGTAGACTTAGATGAACTCGGGTTAAAGACAAAAGCAGTCGGAAGGGGAAAACAGATCATTTCTAGAGAGATTGAAAAATATAGTCAACAAGCCGGTATTAAACTGCAGCAAAGAACCTGAACTCGGTTCCTATTGAGTTCAGCTCCAGAGCAAGCTCCAAGCCACCGCTCTGTCCCTCGCACTGCCCTCCGTACGGCACATGACGCCCAAGGGAAGGAGATTCCACACAGCCAACATGGAAGCCGAAAGCCCTGGCTGTTGGCCTCCCCAGCTCGAAATATTTAAGCACAAATTCCTTACAGCATCACTGGACAAGTCTCGGGGATTAGGTGCATGCTGAACTACGACTGGCAATTACAGTAGCTTTCTGCTAGCTGGCACATACTGTATCTATAAATTTTAGTACAAAAACTTAAAAAATACAGAAACTAGGTCAATTTGTTAACTACATATTTACAGATAATTACAATTCTTTTCACTGACAATAATTAAACTAATTGTCAGTGAAAATTCAAACTGTGCATGTTCTGAGGTACCCGTACTCAAGGGTGGGGAGCGGGGCAGGGGCCGGAGGGGCGAGGTGGGGGGAAGATCCCCCTGGGTTTGTTCACATCCGTGGGGGCAACGCTCAGCCCTCCTAGTTACTGGTTCCTGGACTCAGTGTGTGTACTCAGAGAAAGCAAGGAGAGCAGGAGCTGACGTTGGGGTCTGTTTTCCCTAGGACATGGCTTTAGGATGTTTTGAGGATGCCAGGCAGGTGCAGAGCCAATGGTCACGTACCAAACTGCCTTCCTCCCCCCGGGGAGCCTTTAGGTGAAGTGCAAGTATCAAGACCCACAGCTTGGTGGTTAAGGTGCTTGTTTGCCGGCAAATCCGATTTAATAAGTCCCTCTCTAGCTGCAAAAAGCTCTCCTTCCCCCAGAGAAGGGGGCAGGGATGCAGCAGGCAGCATCATCACAGCTCAGCTGGCTGAACTGTGTTGTGCAACAGGAACCCAGGTTATCTGCCACCATCACTCCCCGGTGGGGTGATGTTTACTAGAATCACTAGATCTATCAGATTTTTTTATTTTCTGGCTGTAAACAGTGATCCACAACCCTCCAAGGCGCCTTGCACGTATTTCTCAACAGACTCCGGACTCCAGCTCAATCGACTCGTAAAAGTGCAAACTGAAACAAACACAGCAGAGGGACAGCAACCGGCATCCCTGTCGGGGCATCCAGTGCTCCTCCATCCTTGGCACGTGGCTCTGGGCTCGTTGCCGGCCAGCACAGGGGTGGGAACATCCCACAGGCAGGAGCACAGCTAAAGACAACACTACTTCTTGGAAAAGCGTAAGGTTGGCCCAACCAAACCTGAGCCTCTCCTAAAAAACTCGCAAGAGACCTTCCAGAAGGGACAGAGGGGAAAATTGCTCCAAATTTTCTGGTAGCACAAAGAGAGCCCGGGGTTGGCATGTTGCTGAGCTGGCAGGGCATCCCTGGGGGTAAATACGTGACCTGACACCTGCAAGAACCACCTATCCTGCAAACTGCCAGATGCCTCCCTAAGATGGGGTCTGCAGAGGACAAAGGAGAGGGTCAGAAGGGTCTTCACAGCTTGAGGAGCTGGTGGTGTCCAGCATGGCACTCACCCCTCTACTATAAGAAAGACCAGAGCCAAGATTTACTAGAACTGCAGAGCAAGCACCCAAGAGAGGAACAAGGCCATCCACTGCTGGCTGGACTCAAGTGACAAAGCACGCAGGCCTAAGCAGAATAAAGAACGGACCAAGAGCATCTGTGTGTCTATATATGCACGTGCATATTGTACACACAGATGTATTTTAAATCTTCCAATTTAGCTTCTCTTTTGCCCCTCCACATAACCAAACAACCTCTAAGTATCAGACACAGGCAAAGGTAGACGGTGTTCAGAGCTGGCGGC